CCATGGTACCCTACGGACCCCCCTCCAGCCCCATGGACCCCCCAACACCAAGGACCCTCCAACCCCAAGGACCTCTCCTCAATCCCATGGACCAACCCCCAGGAAACACATAACCCTATGGACCCCCCAACTTCCCCCAACCCCAGGGACCCTACAGCTGTACCAAAATCTGGGGGCAACGTGGGGGTCCCAGGACAAGGGCAGAGGATCTGGTGGCGGAGGAGTGAGGGGGGAAGAGGTGACAGGGGGATGGGGGGGGGGGACGGACAGTGGGCACATGGCTCTGAATCTTAACGAAGCGCTTCATCAAAGCCCCATTGTGCCCCATTGAGGCCGCTCCTCCGGGGCGCACAATGGCCCCACTGTCCCCGTCCCCCCCCCCTTCTCCGCCCGCCCTTGCACATCCCCCCCACCTCCCCAACGGTCCTATGGGACCAACTTCATAGTGTCCCCACTGCTGCCATCCCTGTCCCATAGCTGTTACTTGGGGGTCCTGAGCACCCCATAACATCTACGTGGGGGTCCTGGGGATCCTATATCTCCTATATAACCCATAATGTGGGCACAGGGGTCTCTTGGACACTATATAGGAGTCCTGAATACCCCATAACCTCTGCATGGGGGTCCTGGGCACCCCAATTCCCTGTAGGGTCCCACACAGCCCTGGGGTTGGAGGTCACTGATATGGATTCCTGAGCACCCAATACCCTCCCATAGGTGTCCAGAGACCCCATATATATATATATAGGGGTTCTTAGCACCCCATAACCTCTATACAGGTGTCCTGTGCACCCCAATGCCCTATAGGGTCTCAGGGATCCCATATGGGGACACCCACAACCATGGGGCTTGGGGTCAGTGGTATGGGGGTCCTGAGCATCCCATAACCTCCACATGGGAGTCCTGTGCACCTCAGTTCCCTATAGGGTCCAAGAGACCCCATAACTTCTACACAGGGGTCCTGACCACCCCGTAACCTTTACATAGGTGTCATGGGCACCCACATTTCTGGGTTGGGAGTCACTGAGTATGGGGGTCCTGAGCACCCCATGCCAATGGGGCACAGCAAAGGGGGGAGGAAGGGGGGGCATCCCTATAGCCCTACAGGATTGGGAGGGGGGAGGTGAGGCAGGAGGAGAGTTATGGGGTTGGGGTTAATGGGTAACTGAGCCGGGCTCCGCGCTGTGCCCCACGGCACCGTACGTGCATGGGGAACAAGCAATGCCATGTCACAGCCCGTGTCGGGGACATGCAGGGTGGCAGTAGGGCGGTCTGGGGGGGGGTGAGGGGGTCAGAGGTGGGTAAGAGTGCGGGAAGCCCAAAGAGAGGTGCTGGGGTGCAGCCAAGGGGTTGTAGTCCTATGGGGTTGGAAGAGGCGGATCGGGGTCCTGAAGGGAGTATGAGGACTCTAAGAGGGATGTGGGAATCCCAGAAGGGGTATGAGGAGAGGTATAGGGCACAGGGACCCACAGTGGGGGGTGTGGGGGTGCAGCCAGTGGGATTTAGGGGTCCTATGGAGCTGGGAAGAGGGGGATGGGGGTCCCCAAAGAGTATGGGGTTCCAAAGGGGGGTGTGAGGACCCCAAAAGAGGTATGGAGAGAAATTGGGGAGAGGGGGGTGGGGATTCCAAGGGGGGCATGGGGGCCCCAAGGGGGGTGTAGGGACTCCAAAATGGGCATGGGGAGAGGTGTGGGGTGCAGGGACCCCCAGTGAGGATGTTGAGGTGCAGCCAGTGGGGTACAGCAGTCCTGTAGGGTTGGGGAGAAGGGTATGGGGAACCCAAGAGGGGTGTGGGGATGGTGGGGTGCAGGGAGACCAAAGGGAGCTATGGGACCCCAAAGAGGGGGTGTAGGGATGGAGCCAAAGGGGTGTGGGGAGGTGGGAGTAAGGAGATGGGACCCCAGAAGGGGGTATGGGGAAAGATGGGGTGTAAGGACCCCAAAGAGAGGCGCACAGGGGTGGTGTGTGGTGGTGGATCCCAAAAAGAAATGCATGGGGTAAAGGGGGGGGGGCAGAGAAGGGCTATGGAGCGTGCATGTCACCACCCGCTTCAGGCAGAGCACTGGGGTCCTGTGGTGACCCCAGGACATGTGGGGACACAGGGGTGTGAGGTGGCTTTGGGGGCATGGTGGCCCTGGGGTGGTGGCTTTGGGGGGACAGGAGGTGGCTATGGGGACAGGGGTTGGCTATGGGGACAGGCAGTGGCTTTGGGGCATGTATGCTTTGAAGGCAAATGGTGGTTCTGGGGACATGGTGGCTTTGGGGATGGAGTGGCTTTGGGGATGGGGTGGCTTTGGGTACAGAGTGGCTTTGAGGACAGGTGGTGGCACAGTCCAGGCTGAGGCCCCTGCTGTGCCCCGTCCTCTCCCCGGACCCACACCAAGGGGTGACACAGCGGGAGCAGTGGCAGTGCCACCCGGTGTCCAGTCCCCCCCCCCCCCGTCTCCCCCTTTTTTGGCCAACACGGCATCACTGGGCTCCAAGGGAACCCCCCATGGTGGCACCGCGTCCCCGGCACCGTGCCCTGCAGTGGGGCCAAATGCTGGCGGGGGCTGAAAGGGCTCTTCTGTGCCGTGGGGACAGGGACAGGGACGGAAGCGCTGCCACCGACCATTTGTCACCTCCCATTCATCCCCTCCTTCCTCTTCCTCCCGGCCTCATTCTGTCCCATCCCTCCCCTCCCCCCCGCCCCCTCCTCCTCCCCAGGTCCTGTCCCCATAGAGGTGGCGGGGGCACAGCTGGGGACAGGGAGGAAAGAGGGACGGACGGACAGACAGGTGAAGGGTGAGAGTATAAAAGGAGGGACGGACGGACAGACAGAGGCACGCGTGGGCAGGCAAAGGTAGGGGGGAGCGGACGGATGGGCAGACAGATGGATAAGGGATAGATGGATGGACGGACGGATGGAGGAGGTGGTTTGGGTGGAGGTGGATGGACAGACGGATGGGTGGACAAGGGATGGATGGGTGGACAGGTAGTCTGATAGGCAGACAGATGGATGGACAGACAGGTGGACGGAGGGGATGAGTTGTGTCTGGATCGGCAGATGGACAGACGAATGGATGGGTGGATAAGTGATGGATGGACAGATGGAGGCAATGTGTTGGATGGAGGCGGACAGACAAACAGATGGACAAAGAGATGGATGAACAGATGGTGGAGGTGTGGGTGGACAGGAAGACGGATGGATGTTGGGATGGATGTGTCGATAGAGGGCTGGGCTGAAGGAGGGATGGACAGACAGACAGATGGGCAGATGCTGCAGGAGTGGTGGGAGTGACAGCCCCTGCTGTTCCTTAGGTGCCACACGTCCCTTATGGCTGTGATGGCTCTGGGACAGGTCCCCATTGTGCCCAGTGAGCCCCCAGCGCCGTCATCCCCCTCTCTCCCCCCACATCCGTCCTACTACCACACCCCATCCACCTCCACCCACCCTATCTGTCCTATTCATCTTCCTCACCCACCCTCTCCACCCCTTCCACACCCCATCCATCCACCTTCTACATCCACCCATCCACCTTCTTCATTCATCGCACCCACCCATCTGTCATCCCTTCTATCCGTCCATCCATCCGTCCATCCATCCATCCATCCATCCATCCATCCAATCCACCATTCATCCATCCATCCATCCATCCATCCTCCCATTCATCCGTCCATCCTCCCATCCCTCTAATCCACCATCCGTCCTCCCATCCATTCGTCCTTCCATCCATCTGTCCTCCCATCCAGTCCTTCTCTACCCACCCAGTCCTTCCAGCCATGCACCTTTCTGTCTTCTCCATCCATCTTGTCCATCCATTCTATCGCCCTTCTCCACCTTAGTCCTTCGCCACCCACCAGCCTTCTGCATCCATCCAATCCATCCATCCTCCACCCTTCTCCTCCAGCCTTCACTCCTCCATTCCTCTCTGTCCCTCACTATTCTCCATCCTTCACCTCCGCCCTTCAATTTTCTCCACCCATTTTTCCTCCTTTTCCATTTGTCATCTTCTTCTTCTCCATCCCTCTGTCATTGTCTCCATCTATTTTCTCCATCCTTTGCCCTTCTCCATGCTTCTGTTTTCTCCATCCATCCAGTCCATCCATCCTTCATTCTTCTTCATCCAACCTTCTGTCTTCTCCATTCTCCAGCCCTCTCCATCTCTTCTCCATCCTTTGCCCTTCTCCTCCATCCTTTACTCTTCTCCATCCATCCAGTCCTTCCACTCATCCAATCCTTCCATCCTTTCATCATCTCCATCCTTCTGTCATCATCCCATCCTTTGACCTTTTCCATCCATCTGACCCATCCAGCCTTCATTCTTCTTCATCCAACGTTCTGTCATCTCCATCCTTTTCCCTTCTCCGTCAATTCAATCCTTTCAACTTTCCCCCTTCTCCATCCATCCAATCCATCCAGCATTCATTCTTCTTCATCCAGTCTTCTGTCATCTCAAACCTTTGCTCTTCTCCATCCATCCATCCAGTCCATCCAACCTTCATTCTTCTTCCTCCAACCTTCCATCATCTCAGTCCTCCGTTTTACTCTATCCATCTTTCTCCCTTCTCCATCCATCCAATCCCTCCAACCTTCATTCATCTCCATCCATCCAGTCTTTCCAACCTTCATTTTTCTTCCTCCACTCTTCCATCATCTCCAATCTTTGCCCTTCTCCATCCATCCAATCCTTCCACCCTTTTCCCTGCTCCATCCATCCAACTTTCATTCTTCTTCATCCACCCTTTTGTCATCTCCATCCTTCGCTCTTCTTCATCCATCCTTGGCCCTTCTTCATCCATTCAGTGCTTCCAACTTTCCTCCTTCTCCATCCATCCAATCCATCCAATCCATCCAACATTCATTCTTCTTCATCCAGTCTTCCGTCATCTCAAACCTTTGCTCTTCTCCATCCATCCAATCTTTCCGCCCTCCGTTCCTCCCCCTCCTCCCAACACCCCCATCTTCCTCCCCTCTTCCCCCTCCCTCAGCACCTCTCTTTGTTTCCACCCCCTCCCAGATGACGTCGGCCACCAAGGTGTACTACAGCCAGACCACGCAGACCGACAGCCGCCCTCTCATCGGCACGGCGCTGCGCCGACGCCGCGTTATGACCAAGGATGGCCGCAGCAACGTGCGCATGGAGCACATCGCCGACAAGCGCTTCCTGTACCTCAAGGACCTGTGGACCACCTTCATCGACATGCAGTGGCGGTACAAGCTGCTCCTCTTCTCTGCCACCTTTGCCGGCACCTGGTTCGCGTTCGGCGTCGTTTGGTACCTGGTGGCGGCGGTGCATGGCGACCTGCTGGAGTTCGAGCCGCCGGCCAACCACACGCCGTGCGTCATGCAGGTCCACACACTCACCGGTGCCTTCCTCTTCTCCCTGGAGTCCCAAACCACCATCGGTTACGGCTTCCGCTACATCAGCGAGGAATGCCCGCTGGCCATCGTGCTGCTCATCACCCAGCTGGTCCTCACCACCATCATGGAGATCTTCATCACCGGGACCTTCCTGGCCAAGATTGCCCGGCCCAAAAAACGAGCGGAAACCATCAAGTTCAGCCAAAACGCCGTGGTGGCCCAACACGACGGCAAGACGTGCCTGATGATCCGCGTGGCCAACATGCGCAAGAGTCTCCTGATCGGCTGCCAGGTGACGGGCAAGCTGCTGCAGACCCACCTCACCAAGGAGGGCGAGAGCGTGCGGCTCAACCAACTCAATGTGGACTTCCAGGTGGACACGTCGTCCGACAGCCCCTTCCTCATCCTGCCGCTCACCTTCTACCACGTGGTGGACGACGCCAGCCCCTTCCGCGACACGGCGCTACGGACGGGCGAGGGGGACTTTGAGCTGGTTGTCATCCTCAGCGGCACCGTGGAGTCCACCAGCGCCACGTGCCAGGTGCGCACCTCCTACCTCCCCGAGGAGATCCTCTGGGGCTACGAGTTCACCCCCGCCATCTCGCTGTCGGCCAGCGGGAAGTACGTGGCGGATTTCAGCCTCTTCGACCAAGTGGTGAAGGTGGCCGCCCCGTGCTGCGTCCGTGAGACCGTGAGGTTCGGGGACCCCGAGAAGGTGAAGTTGGAGGAGACGCTGCGGGAGGCGGCGGAGCGCGAGGGAGCACCGCTCAGCGTCCGCATCAGCAACGTCTGAGCCACTGCCGGAACCGGGGCGGCCACCGGCGGCCACCGATGTCACCACCAGCACTGGAGATGATGCCACCAGCGCGGGGAGATGTCACCAGCTCTGGAGATGTCACCACCAGCAGCCCTGGAGATGCCACCACTAGGGTGGGGAGATGCCACCACCACCGGAGATACCACTACCAACCAGCCCTGGAGATACTGCTACCAGCCCTGGTGATGCCACCACCAGCATGGGGAGATGCCACCAGCTCTGGAGGTGTCACCACCAAGGCACAGAGATGCCACCGTCAGGGCAAGGAGATGCCACCACCACTGGAGATGTCACCAGCAGTCCCAGAAATGCCACCATCGGCATGGGGAGATGCCTCCAGCCCTGCAGATCCCACTACCAGCCCTGAAGATGTCACCACCAGCCCTAGGGGTGATGTCACCAGGACAGGGAGATGTCATCATCACTGGAAATGCCACCACCAGTCCTGGAGGTGCCATCACCACCAGCACTGGAGATGCCACCGGTGCAGGGAGATGCCACCACCAGGGCAGGAAGATGTCACCACCACTGAAGATACCACTACCAGCCAGCCCTGGAGATGCCCTTACCACTGGAGGTGCCTTCACCAGGGTGGGGAGATGCCACCAGCTCAGCCCCCATCTCCACCCCTCCTGAGTCACTGTCCTCCTCTCCGTGCAGGGCTGCTCGGACCCCCGCTCGCTGCTGGGACCACCTCAGCCCATTTGGGGACAGTGTTGTCCCCGTCCCTGTCCCCATGCCCTAATGCTCTGCTAACGCCCTCCAGACCCCCCCAGCCCCACCAAGAGACACAATACTGCTGTCCCCACAACGGGGGGTGGGAGGGGGTTTCTGGGTGGGCACACAGTCACCTCCAGCCCTTGGGGACACTCAGTGACAGTTTCCCACCAGGAGGAGCAGCACAGCTCCACGCCAGCAGGGAGACTGAGGAAGAATCCCTACCCCCAATTCCCAGTGCTGCTGCCCCCAGAGCTGGGGCCCCCTCCCCGCGCTGCTCCCCCCACCTCCCGCCCCCCCCCCATACCCGTGGGGTTGGGGACACGGGGGTGACACCGATAATCGGACACGGCTCTGAGCCCGTCACTGCTGCTAACGTAGAGCATCTGCCCTATTAACCCCCCCCACCCCAGGTAGCCCCCCCAGCTTGGGGCTGCCTCCCCAACCCCCTCCAAAATCCCTGCTGCACTGAGTCCAGGTGATGTGTACACCTTTATCTATATATAGTGCCACTAATCTATATATTATATATATATATATATAAAAAAATGGGGACGAGAGGTTTCTCCCCCCCCAACACACGCACTCCCCCACTGCCCCCTCCTGCTGCCGCCTAGGGGGTCCCCTCCTCAATTTGGGGGTGGGAGGGTTAAGAAGTGATTAATAAAAGTTCTACTGACGGTTGGGAAGGGCCTGGGGGGGTCACAGAGTCATGGGGTGCCCAGCGCCGGGGAGCACAGAGCTGTGTCCCAATTCCCCCCCCAAAAAGAAAAACCAAACCAAGCACTCCATAAAGGACAACGGTTTATTGGTTTCCAGCAGGTGGGAGCAATGGGGTCTGCGCTCCCCCCTCCCCCCCACTCCTGCCCCCCAGGAGGTGATGGGGGACTCTGCTCCTGTGAGGATGCAGTGCTGGACCCCCCCCCCCCAAAGTGTGGGGACAACCGAGGGTTGGGGGGGGACAACAATGAGGCACTGCTTTGAGGGGAGGGGGTGGGGATGCCCCAAAAAGGAACCGACGTCAGGAAGGCACTGGGGAACACTTTAAAAAATGAAACTAAACAGCCCCCTCCCCCCCCCCCCCCAAAAAAAAAAAACAACCCAAAGCCCCCAAATAGTTCAAATCATGGTGGAGCTGCAGCGATGGGGAACATCCACACCCCATGGGGTCACACCAGGAAGGACGACGTCTGCTTGAACTCCCCCTGTGGACAGAGAGTGGTGTTGGAGGGGGGGCAAAGTGGGGGGACCCCAATACTGGTTCAGGTAATGGGATTTGGGAACCAGAAACCCCAATATTGGTTCAGATTTCATCACCGGAGGACCCCAATAACAGTTCAAAGAAAGAGATTGGTTTGGATAAAGGGAGTTGGGGACTGTGGGACCCCAATATTCATCTGGATAATGGGATTTGGGAATCAGAGACCCCAGTATTGGTTTGGATTTGGACAATGGAGGACCCCAACATCGGTTCAGCTAATGGGATTTGGGCACTCTGGGGGCCCCAGCATCAGTTCCGATAATGGGATTTGGGAACTGGGGGGATTAGTTCAGACAATGGGACTTGGGCACCGGTGGAACCCACTGTTGGTTTGAATTTGGGACCCCAGTACTGGTTTGGATAATGGGATTTAAGCACCAGGGGACCCCAGTATCAGTTCTGATAAAGTGCTGTGGGAAGTGGAGGACCCCAATATTGGTTGGGATAAAGGGGTTTGGGCACCATGGGACCCCAATATTAGTTCAGATTTGGACAATGGAGAACCCCAATATTGGTTCGGATTATGGGATTTGGGAACTGGGAGGACCCCAATATTGGCACAGATAAAAGGATTTGGGCACCATGGGACCCCAATATGGCTTCAAATAATGGGATTTAAGCACTTTGGGGACCCCAGTATCGATTCAGAAAAAGGGATTTGGGAATTGGGGGACCCCAATACTGGTTCAGATTCCGGCATCGGAGGACCCCAGTATCATTCAGATAATGGGATTTGGGCACTGGGGATCCAAATTATGGTTCAGATAAAGGATTCTAAGAACTGGGAAACCCCAATATTGGTTTGATTTGGGCACTTGGGGCACCTCAATATCAGAATGGAAAATGGGATTTGGGAATTGGAGGGACCCCAATACTGGTTCAGATTTAATCACCAGAGGACTCTGATATTAGTTCAGATCATGGGATTTGGGAACTGGGAGGCCCCAGTATCAGTTTGGATAAAGGGATTTGGGAACTGGGGGGACCCCAGTATTTGTTTGGATAAGGAGATTTGGGCAGTTGGGGGAACCCAATATCAGTACAGATAATGGGATTTGGGCACTGTGGGGAACCCAATATTTGTTTGGATTAAGGCATTTGGGAACCAGGGGATCCCAATACTGGATCAGATTTGGGCTCTGGGGGAAGCCCAGCATCAGTTCAGATAATGGGCTTTGGGAACTGGGGGGACCCCAGTATTTGTTCGGATAAGGGGATGTGGGAACGGGGAGACACCAATATCAGTATGGGTTATGGGATTTGGGCACTATGGGACCCCGGTGTTGGTTCTTGGTCAATGGAGGACCCCAATATTTGTTTGGATAATGGGACTGGGGCACTGGGAGGACCCCAGTATTGGTTTGGATTTGAACACCGCTGGGACACCTGATATCGGTTGGGATAATGGCATTTGGGCACTGGGGGGACCCCGATATCAGTGTGGGTTATGTCACCTCACTGTGTTCTGGGGACACCCCTGGGAGGCACTGGGGTCCCCTCTCACCCCTTTGGCCATCAGTGTCACCCCACAGCGGTTTGGGGTTCCCCCCCCATGTTCTCCCCCCCCCCCATACTCACGTCGCTGCGCTGTGAGGGTTGGCTGTAAATCACCTTTTTGGAGGCAGTGCTGCAAAAAGAGGAGTGCATCAAGGAGGGGCTCTGCTGCCCCCCCCCCAGCCCCCCCAGTGCCCACTGGGCATCATCCGGCCCGGCACTGCAAATCCCAGCCTGGGAGGAACCGGCAGCAATGGCTGAGCTTACTCTTTTCTCTCTGTAGGGAAAAAGAGACAGAGTGGGGTTATGGGGTGATGTGTGTGGTTATGGGGTGATGTGTGGGGTTATGGGGTGATGTATGGGGTGATGCATGGGCTTATGGGGTGATGTATGGAGGCACGTATGGGGGGATGTGTGGTGTGGGGTCATGTTTAGGGCTTTGTATGGGATGATGTATGGGGTGATGTGTGGGGTGATAAGTGGGGTGATGTATGGGGTTATGTATGGGATGGTGTGTCGGGTTATGGGATGATGCATGGGCTTATGGGCTGATGTATGGGGGGACGTATGGGAAGGATGTGTGTGGTGATGTGTGGGGAGATGTATGAGGTGATGTGTGGGGTCATGTATGGGGTAGTGTGTGGGATTATGAGGTGATGTGTGGGGTGATGTGTGGGGTGATGTGTGGGGTGAATGTGCGGGGTTATAGGGCAGCATGATGGGGCTCTACTCACGGAAGTAGCCGCGGCTGTAGGCGAACCAAATCCCGAAGGCGATGAGTCCCAGCAGCATCAGCAGCACCACCACCGCTGCCACAATGCCGCCCACGTTGACCTCACCTGGGGGGAAACAGCGTGGGGCAGTGGGGGGGGTGCCATGGGGACCCCTCTGGATTTCCCATTAGGATTCCCCTTTTAGGTTTTCCTTCAGAATTCTCCTTTAAGGATTTTCCATAGCACCCTATGGCACCCATAGCTCCCCACACCACCCATAGCACCCTATGGCACCCATAGCACTTACATCACCCCATAGGACCCCACAGTACCCTACACCACCCTATGGCAACCAAAGCACCCAATACCAACCCATAGCACCCTATGGAACCCCAGAGCACCTTACCCCACCCTATAGCACTCTACCCCACCCTCTGGCATCTATGGCACCCCACACCACCCCTCACACTTATAGCAGCCTACACCACCCCATAGCACCCTACGGGACCCCATAGCACCCTACACCACCTTTGGGCACCCATGGCACCCCACACCATCCCATTGCACCCACAGCACCCTACAACACCCCATAGCACCCTATGGGACTCCACAGCACCCTACACCACCCTCTGGCACACACGGTACTCCACATCCCCATCACATCCGTAGCACCCTACCCCACCCCATAGCACCCTACACCACCCTCTGGCACACATGGCTCCCCACACCACCCCAGAGCATCCTATGGGACCCCATAGCAACCTACACCAGCCTCTGGCATACATGGCATCCCACACCACCCCATCGCATGCATAGCAGCCTACACCACCCCACAGCACCCTATGGGACCCCACAGCACCCTACTCCACCCTGTAGCACCCTATACCAGCCTCTGGCACACATGGCACCCCACACCACCCCATCGCATCCATAGCATGCTACACCACCCCACAGCACCCTATGGGACCTTATAGCACCCTACTCCACCCCATAGCATCCTACACCACCTTCTGGCACACATGGCACCCCACACCATCGCATTGCATCCATAGCAGCCTACACCACCCCATAGCACCCTACCCCATCCCGTAGCACCCCACCCCACCCTATGGCACCCATGGCACCCTACACCACCCCATCGCATCCATAGCAGCCTACACCATCCCATAAAACCCTACCCCACCCTGTAGCATCCTATGGAACCCCATAGCACCCTACTCCACCCTGTAGCACTCTACACCACCCTCTAGCACACATGGCACCCCACACCACCCCATCGCACCCATAGCAGCCTACACCACCCCACAGCACTCTATGGGACCCCACAGCACCCTACTCCACCCTGTAGCACCCTACAGCAGCCTCTGGCATACACGGCATCCCACACCACCCCACTGCACCCATAGCAGCCTACACCACCCCATAGCACTCTACCCCATCCCGTAGCACCCCACCCTATGACACCCATGGCACCCTACACCATCCCATCGCATCCATAGCACCCTACACCATCCCATAAAACCCTACAACACCCTATAGAATCCTATGGAACCCCTTAGCACCCTACCCCACCCCGTAGCACTCTACACCACCCTCTGGCACCCGTGGCACCCCACACCATTGCATCGCATCCATAGCACCCTACACCACCTCATAAGCACCCTACACCATCCCATGGCACCCTATGGGACCTTATAGCACCCTACCCCACCCTGTAGCACTCTACACCACCCTATGGCACCCATGGCACCCCACACCATCGCATTGCATCCATAGCACACTACACCACCCCACAGCACCCTACCCCACCCTGTAGCACCCTACACCAGCCTCTGGCACACATGGCATCCCACACCACCCCATTGCATCCATAGCATCCTACACCACCCCATAGCACCCTACCCCCTCCCGTAGCACCCTACACCACCCCATGGCACCCTATGGGACCCCATAGCATCCTACCCCACCCTGTAGCACCCTACACCAGCCTCTGGCATACACGGCATCCCACACCACCCCATTGCACCCATAGCACCCTACACCACCCCACAGCACCCTATGGGACCCCATAGCACCCTAGCCCACCCCATAGCGCCCATCAGGCCCCCGCTGCCCCATCTCTCACTGGCTTCCATGCGGACCGCGTCCGACCTCTGCGCCGTGCCCACGTTGTTGGAGGCCTCGCAGTAATAATCGCCGGTGTCAAAGGCGCTGACGGGATTGAAGGTCTGCAGGAGGGGGGGAGGCACCCATGGGTGGGGGTGGGAAGGCTCCGGGGGTCCCATGGGTTTCCATCCCCCTCCCCCCCCCCCGGCACTCACCAGCTCCCCGGTGGTGGAGTCCAGAGTGTAGGAGGAGTTGCGGAAGCTGAGGCTGCTTTTGGGGTCGGTGGGGATCAGCATGCCGTCCCGGTACCAGCGGAACGTGGGGGGGGGGGAGCCGTCCGACTCCGTACAGCGCAGCACCGTGGTGCGACCGATGGTGGCTGAGCTGGGAACGTGGGCGACCGGCTTGGAGGGGGGCACTGCAGGGGGACCCCAAAATGGTCAGTGTGTGGGGGGACAGCGGGGGGAGATCCCAAATGGGGTCATTGTAGGGGGGACAGAAGGGGAACCCCAAAAGGGTCAGTGCATGGGGGGACATCAGGGGGAGATCCCAAAAAGGTCAGTGTATGGGGGGACATCAGAGGGAGATCCCAAAATGGTCAGAGTATGGGGGAGAGAGAGGGGAGACCCCAAAAGGGTCAGCGTATGGGGGGGACATCAAAGGAGATCCCAAAAGGGTCAGTGCATGGGGGGGCAGAGAGGGGAGACCCCCAGGATGGGATCAGACTATGGGGGGACGGCGAGGGGAGACCCCAAAAGGGTCAGCATAGGGGGGACAGTGAGGGGGGGACCCCTGGGATGGGGTCAGACTATGGGGGGATGGGGACCCCCAAAAGGGTCAGAATATGGGGGGGACCCACAGAAGGGTGAACATATGGGGGTATAGAGAAGGGGGATTCCAAAGAGTCAGACTACGGTGAGACAGGGAGGGGGGACTCTCAGGATGGGGTCAGCGTATGGGGGACAGACAGAGGGGACACCCAAAAAGGGTCAGCATATGGGGGGGGGCTGTGAGAGGGGCCCCAAAAGGATCTGTGTATGAGGGACAGTGAGGAAGGATCCCCAAAATTGCTCAGCATATGGGGGGACAGGGAAAGGGGGGGACCCCAAAAGGCTCAGACGATGTGGGGACTGTGTGAAGGGACTCCAAGATGGGGACAGATTATGTGGTGACAGTGAGGGGGGATGCCCCAAAAGGGCCGGACTATTTGGGGACAGTGTGTGGGGACCACAAAAGGGTCAGTGAATGGAAGGGCAGTGTGGCGAGACCCTTGGGATGGGGTCAGACTATGGGGAGACAGAGGGGGGGACCGCAAAAGGGTCAGACTATGGGCTAAGGAGGGAAATGGGAACCATGGGGTGTGCCTCGAGGGTATGGGCACCTCCACTGCCCCTATGGGTTCTATAGGGAGCCACCCCCCCGATTCCATTCCCCTATGGGTTCTATAGGGTGACCCACATGGTTCACCTCCCCTATGGGTTCCATGGGGAAACACCAACCTGATTCACCACCCCTATGGGTTCTATAGGGAACTGTCAACCCCTGGGGTCACCTCCACTGCCCCTATGGGTTCTATAGGGAAAAACTAACCCAAAGAGCACGGGGTTCCCTCCAATAATGTAGTGACATTCATGTCCCTTTATGGGCTCCATGGGGAACCACCATCCTGATTCACCCTGTCCAGGCTCTATAGGGGAGCACCAACCTGGTTCATTTCCCCTATGGGTTCTATAGGGAAACACTGATACAAAGAGCACCGGGTACAACCCAAGAACATGGGAACATTCACCTTCACCCCAGCCCTACTGGGGATGTGGAGAGGTGGGGACATGGGGATGGGGGACATGGGGACATGGGGGTATAGAAGATGAGGATGTGGGGGCATGAGAATGTGGGGAAGTGGGGACACGAGGATGTGGGGACATGGAGATGCGGAGAAGTCAGGACGTGGGACGTGGGGAAGTGGGGACACGGAGATGTGGGGATGTGAGGACATGGGGAAGTGGGGAAGTGGAGATGGGGGGACATGGGGAGGTGGGAAGATGGGGAACTGGGGACATTCAGACATGGGGACATGGGGATGTAGGAACATGAGGACATGGGGACACACGGACGTGGCGATGTGGGGACCCACCCTGGACAATGAGGTTGACCTCCGACTTGGCGATCTGGGAGTTGTCCCCCACCACCTCACAGATGTATTTCCCCGTGTCCTCCCGCGTCACCGTGCTGAAGTGGATGGAGGTGACGGAGAACACGACGCGGTTCTTGTAGGGGTCTGCGGGGAGAGGTGGAGGGTTGGGGGACGGACAGACGGACAACACGGCGCCACCCACAGCTCCAAGCCCTGTGTAGTACCTGTGAGTGCCCCCGCATAGTAGAAGAGCACCAGGGAAGAGCCCTTCTGGAACTTCCACTCGATGCGGGGATTTCCCCAGTCGGAGCGGTACGCAGAGCACGGGATGTCGACGGCTGCGGGGAGAGATGGAGCTCAGCGGGGGGAGCAGCACCCCAAAACCCAACTGCTGCGGGTGGGGGGGGGCTTGGCGGGGGCATGGGGGGCTCCTGTGGGGTTGTAGGAGACTCCTGTTGGGCCACAGTGGGGCTCATGAAGGGTTATAGGGGGCTTAGTGAGGTTATGGGATGCTCACGTGGGGCTATGAGGGCTTGGTGGGGCCAGAGGGTGCTCATATGGGTCATGGGTGCTCCTGTGGGGTCATGGGGTGCTCCTGTGGGGTCATGAGGGGCTTGGAAGGGTCATGGGGTGCTCGTGCGGGGCCATGGTGGGGCTCATTGGGGGTCATGTGGTACTTGTGGGGCCATGGGGGCTTGGTGGAGTTATGGGATGCTCATGTGGGGTCATGGTGGGGCTCATGGGGGGTTATAGGGAACTTGGTGAAGTCATGGGGTGCTCAAATGGAGTCATTGTGGGCTTGGTGGGGTTATGGGATGTTCATGTGGGGTCATGAGGGGCTTGGGAGGGGCATGGGGTGCTCGTGTGGGGCCATGGTGGGGCTCATGGGATACTTGTGGGGCCACGGGGGGCTTGATGGGTTATGGGATGCTCATGTGATGTCATGGGGTGCTTGGTGGGGCCATAGGGTGCTCATGTGGGGTCATGGGGTGCTCTGTTGGGTTATGGGGGGCTTGGTGAGGATATGGAATGCTCATGTGGGGTCATGGTAGGGCTCATGCGGGGTTATAGGGGACTTGGTGAGGTCATGGGGTGCTCAAGTGGAGTCATGGTGGGCTTGGTGGGGTTATGGGATGCTCATGTGGGGTCATGAGGGGCTTGGGAGGGGCATGGGGTGCTCGCATGGGGCTACGATGGGGCTCATGGGGGGTTATGAGGGATTTGGTGGGGCCGCGGGGTGCTCATGTAGGGTCATGAGAGGGCTCATGCAGAGCCATGGGATGCTCTTGTGGGGTTATGGGGAGCTTGGTGCAGCTGGGTGCAATCTTGGGATGTTCAGGTGCAGTCATGGGATCCTTATGTGGGGCCACTGGGTACTCAGTGGGGTTATGGAGTTCATGTGTGGGGCCAGGAGGGGCTCACATGGGGGTCATGGGCTTTTGCTGGGGACATGGGGCAGTTAATAGGACTGTGGGGCATTAAATGGGGCTGTGGGGTGGTTGTTGGGCCACTGGGCACTTGATGAAGCTATGGGGTGGTTAATGGGACCAAGGGGTTGATGACAGGGCCATGGGGCACTTAATGGGGCCTGGGGAACTTGATGGGGTGGCTAATGGGCCAGGGGGCACTTGATGTGGCCATGGGATGGTTGATGGGACCACAGGGCAGTCAGTGTGGCTGTGGGGCAGTTAATGGGGCCGTGGGGCACTTGATGGCCCGAAGCTGTGGGTCGCAGTGACTCACGTTGGTTCTCAGGCACTTCCTTCGTCTCCGAGGTGACCTGGGCGCCCACCAGGGACACTGCGGGAGCGGAAGTGGCTGAGTGACACGGGAGAGGGAGGGAGAGGACCCCTCCGCGTCACCCACCCGTTATCAGATCTCTTATCAGCCTCGTTAATCAGTGCCCAGATGTGGTTAGCGATTAACGGCACCTCCCGACCCGCGCGTTTATTAGCACAGGGTCACAGCTCTGCAGCACTGCTGCCTGCGCTCCTGGGATGGCACAGTGACCGGGAGGTGACGGCGTGGGGCAGGAGGAGGTGACGGTATGGGGCACAAGGAGGTGACCCCACACAGAGCCGGAAAATCCCGTTGTGCCAGCTGCCACCTGCGTCACCTCCCGGTTTCGCACCACTCCCCACGCTCCGGGCACACACACACACGCGTGTGCACGCACGCACGCCTGTCCTCGCACGCTCACCCCACGCTGACCCCCCATCCCCCGCTCCGGTGCCTGACGTTGTGAAGCGGTGGAATGCAGTGGTGACCCCCAGGGGCTGTGGGCCCCATTGCTGTGGGTCCAGACAGTCGCTGCGCCGCTGAGTCACTGCAGGGACACCGCCCTGCGCCGCTCCCACAACGCCTGGGGCACCGCGGTGCCACCGAACCAAAACACCAAGGGGGGGAACCACCATGTCCCCAAACCCAAGGAGGTTGGCCACCACGGTGTCCCCAAGTGCCACAGCATCCCCAGGTCCAAGGGGGAAACCGCTGTGATGACCCCAAACCCAAGAAGAAAGGCCACCACAGTGTCCCCAAGCACCGTGGTGTCTCCAAACCCAAATGGAGAGACTGCTGTGGTGTCCTCAAGACCAAGAAGAAAGGCCACCATGGTGTCCCCAACTGCCACAGTGTACTCAGACCCAAGGAGGAAGGCCACCACGGTGTCCCCAAGCACTGCAGTGTCCCCATACCCAAGGACGAAGGCCACTATGGAGTCCCCAAACCCCATAGAGTCCCCAGGCCCAACTGGAGAGACCACTGTGGTGTCCCCAAGCCCAAGGAAGGAGACCAGCACAGTGTCCCCAGATCACACAGTGCCCCCACACCCAAGCAAAGAGCCCACTGTGGCGTCCCCACACCCTGTGGTTTGGGACCACTGCTCACCACAATGTCCCTGAGCCCCATGGAGGCTTTGGAGACACCGTGCCAAAAGGGCAGGAATGGCAGCACCTGGCAGTGGCTGTGGGGCCACCTGGAAATGGGGGGGGTTGGGATTGGGACCCACAGGAAGCGGCGGTGGGGACAGGAAATGTGAAGCGGGGACGGGAAGAGCTGCAGCCACTGCACAATGGGGACATGGGAAGGGCAGCAGCCGGGCGAAAAAAAAAAAACAACCCAAAATGACCCAATTTGGAGTCCCAGTGTCCTGGGTCACACGGGTCACTTGGGTCACACACCTGCTCCCATCCCCAGGGCCCTAAAAGAGTTAATGCCAACACCACCCCGAGACAAAGGAGGGGACGTCACTGCCACCATCACCGCACAGTGACGGAAGGGGAACTCCATGGGGAGAGGTGAAACTTTGGCCTTCGGGTACACATTAACCCGGAGCGGGGACCCACGGCTCCTCCTCTGCCACCGGCGGGACGGGGATGGGGCTGTCCCCATTGCTGTCCCCATTGCTGTCCCCATTGCTGTCCCCACTGCTGTCCCCACTGCTGCGCCCACAACTACGCCCTCGGCTGAGGACGCCCATGGCAGGACGGGATGTTTGCAGAGCCATTTCCGCAGTTATTCTCCCCAAATCTTCAGCCCGGATGTCCTCGGGGCTGTCACTGCGGGGCCACCAGCATCACCCCGAACTGCTGGGGGGCAGAGCGGGGACAGCAATGGGGCAGAGGGGACACAGATGGGGTGGAAGGAACAGATTTGGGGTGGAAGGGGACACAGATAGGGTGGAAGGGACACATTTGGGATGGAAGGGGACACACGGTTCCCCGGCACAGATGCATGGCCGATTGCTGTGACTGTGCCACCACCAGGGATGGGTGACGATGTCCCCCAAGGGCTTCGTCCCCACGGGAGGAAGGGAAAGTTCTCCTGCGGCCGCAGAACGCGCAGCGGGACGGGGACAACAACGGACGGGACAACAGCGGACGGCAGGGCGGCGTCCCCGCGGTGCCGGCGGCATTCCCACACCGGCAGCGTCCCCACGGCCGCGCTTTGGGTTTTTCCCCCACGCCAACACCGCGGATCCCCCATAGCGGTGCCCGCACCCCATTATCGTCGCTCCGAACCTCCACGATCGCGGGCGGACCGGAGCCCGGCGTGGAGCGAGACCCGAACACCGGGGGTCGCGCATCGCCCCAGCGCCGCTCCAACGCCGCCCTCCGCGGCCTAACCCCGCTCCCCCCCCCGCCCCCCAGCCCCCCGTCCCGCTACTCACCGGCCGCCGCGCACAGCAGCACGAGGGGCCGCACCCCGCCCGCCATCGCCGCCGCACTGACCCCGCGCCCCAGGTGCGGCCCCGCCCCGCCCAGGTGCGTCCCGCCCCCCCTCCCCGCGCTGATTGGGGGCGGTCGCCCCGCCTCCTCGGGGACGGGCCAACCCGGCGACGCCCCTTCGGACAGGTGCGGATGGCCCCGCCCCTCGCTCGGCTCCATTGGCCGCGCCGCCTGTCTCGTCAAGGAGAGAACACCTACGATAGGCTGAAAAAGAGGCCGCGCGCGACACAGGTGTGCAGAGGGCGGGGCGCGCCGGCCAATCAGAGAGAGCGCTGTAACTTTTGACCAATGGGAACGCTTTGCGCCCCGTCTGCACCTCCCGGGCGGGGAGACGGGCCGCTGCCATGGAGACGGGCCGTGAGGCCTGTAGGCCTCAGTGCTCCCAGTACAACTCGTGCTCCCCGCACTCCTAGTATTCAGTGCTCCCCTGGGGCCACAGGGTGCAACTATGTCAAGCCACAATGTTGTGACACAGTGAGAGTGGCATGGTGACATCACGGTGACATCATGGTGACACTGCCTGCTGGTCCCCACCCTGTCAGCCCACTCCTCATCACCCAATGGAGAGGTGACACGGGGGTTCCCAAGGCCCCCATGGCTGAGCCCTGACACACACACATGTCCACAGGGCTCCAAACTAGCACCCCAATTACCCCTAATTAACAGTGGGGAGCTGCCAGCACCACCTCCCAACGTTAATCAGGGGCTGCAGGAATGAGAAGAACATGGCCTCCAGCTCTCCAGCCCCATAGGGAGATGACAGAGGTGACATGTGGGGCTGGGGGACAATGGGGGGACAAATGGGTTAGGAGGGACAGGACAGGGGTGGGGGACATGGGGGACAAAGAGGTTGTGGATGACAGGACAGAGGTAGGGAACACAGTGGGGACATGGGGGCCAGGAGAGGGATGGGAGACATGGTAGGGACAGGGGGGGACAGGGCAGGGGGG